AATATCTGGGCTTGATTTAATGAGGCTCTTCACATTGGTGGAATATCAACTTAACAGAGAAAAGTCTACCCAGGACGTCCAAGTTACCAAAATGAAAATTGGCAATTGAGATGATAAGAACGCATCTTTCTTCTTCGAAATCACTTCAGGTAACAGAGATAACGTTAAATAACATACATTCTATGCACCAAGAACAATGTTTTATGTACCGAGTCTCTTATCCGTCTCTCTTAATGACTTCCCTTAGCGGGTTGTTAGTACTTGACAGCAGGTCTCCATGCGGGGAACTTTTCTCCAATTCCACATTCAAAGGAGGTCCATCAGAGAGCATGATTGGCAATTTTCGTCATAATCTGCACATTATTAGCATCAAAATTGACGTGGCAGTTAACACTGGTGGGTTTTGATGTGCCTTTCTTCAAGTTCAAGGAAACCCCCCTCCAGTAGCCGGAGTTGGCAGAGCGGGTCTCCACAACCCAGCGGCGGCTTGCTTTGCAGCGGCGAAGGCAGGCGCAATGGAAGTGCGTGAGAAACATGCCAAGAACCATTTTACCGGAGGAGTGAGAAAGCGAAGAACGAAAGGAATGAGGGGGAGAGAGAGTTCGGACTCAGAAAAGGGTCTAAGGAAATGCTTCGGGATAATAGCGTACATCTAGAGATTCAAGTATTTCCCAGATGGAATGGAACCCAGCAGCTGAAAAACTGAGCTGAAAACGCTTCTTCTTGGAATACTCCAGAGATCTGTCAATCTTGCCCTCCCCTTCATTTCCCTCTTCTTCCCTGGCCTGGCTGTGGACACCTCATTAGCCATTAGTTTTTGCATAAAATATTCAAGATGCCTCCATCCCGAACCAAAAAAGAGAAAGTGGTGGTGGGCCCAGAGAGAGAGAGGAGGGAGAGGAGGCGAGAGGCCACCCCTTCCCACCTCTGCTTTGTCCTTCCTGGGGAAGGCGGCCACAGCCCCGCTGGCCTGGGTCCCGCACGCAGTAAGCAACCGCACAACACACCCCCTCCCCGCAGCCCTCCGTGCTGTCCCCCTGCCCCCCCCTTCCGGCCTTCTGCTCAGACCCCCCATCCCTCCGCTCTCCTGGGACGGGGCCCCTCACAAGCTCAGGCCGAGAGGAAAACTGCCACCGACCCTCACCCTCGTGTAAAGAAAAGAAAGGATGAGGGGGAAAGAGCAGCAGCGGGGACCTCGAGGGTGACTTTCCCTCCCGCACGGAGCACCCGCGCGCACCACTCCCCTCTCTTTGTTGTGGTTCACGGTCGCCGCCGGCCACGTGGTTCGGCCCCATAACCCGGGCCTACGGGCTCCCAGCGAGCCCAGACCCCGGAGGGGTGGTCCTCGGACGAGGGGATCCTCTTGGGGAGACCAAGAGCTCGGGACAGAGACGGGAAGCAGGCCCTGGGCAGCGGGAAACAGACTTAGAGAAGGGGAGGCGGCTGGGTAGCAAATATAAAAATAGAAATAATTTTTGTGGGGGGGGTGGGAGGAGGAGGGACGCCCGCCGGGCTCCGCGCCCGTTCTTTCCCCCCCAATTCCTGCAGGTTCCCTCCAGTCTCCCTCCCGCGCCGGGGCGCCCCCTGCCGGCAGCGTTCTCAGAGGGCAGCGCGCCCAGGGCACGCGGGCGCCCCGAGGGCGCGGGGGGCGTGGAGGGGACGCCGGGGCACGGCCCCCGACGTAGTTATCTGGTGAGCGGCGCCTCGTCCCGCTGGTCCGGCGGGCTCACGGCCGTCTTGCTGAGCACCGCGGCCGAGTAGGGCAGGAAGCCGCTGTCGGAGCGCGGCGCCGCGGCGCTGCAGCCGAAGTCCGAGCCCCCCGCGGCCCCCGCGCCCGCCCCGCCGGCCCCGCCGGCCCCGCCGCCGGCCCCCCGGGAGCCCAGGGCCGCGGCGGCGGCGGCCGCGGCGGCCGCGGCGGACTGGCTGCTGTGGCAACTGAGGCACGAGCAGGGCGCCGAGCCGCCGCTGGGGGGCGCCCCCGCCGCCGCGGCCGAGGAAGCAGCGGCGGCCGCGGCGGCCGCAGCGGCGGCGGCCGAGGCCGCGCTGTTGAGCCCCGCGGCGGCCGCGGGCGCCTGGTAGAGGCCCGGGTGGCGGAAGCTGCACAGCAGCTCGGGCCGCGAGTAGGGGTGCGAGAGGGCGCGGAAGGTGTCCAGCGGGCGGATGGAGGTGGCGAAGGGCGACGAGGCGGCGGCCGCGGCTCCCGAGGCCGCGGCGGCGGCGGCGGCGGCCGTGACGCCCACGTGCGGGTAGTAGTGCAGCGGCACGTGCGAGTGGAAGGGGTAGGGCAGGCTTCCGGTGGCGGCCGCGTGCGTCATCATGTAGGTGTAGAAGCTGGGGTCGGCGGGGTGCGGCCACGACATGGCCAGGCGCTGCCGCTTGTCCTTCATGCGCCGGTTCTGGAACCACACCTGCGGGGACAGCCGCGCGGCGGCCCGCGTTAGGGAGCGCGCCCGCCCCGGCCCCGGGCCTCCCCGGGCCTCCCCGCCCCCCTGGGACCTCCGAGGGACCCGGCCTGTTCCCCTCCGACCTTCCGACCGGAACCAGCTCCCAGCGCCCTGCCTCCCCGCGGGGACGGACCCGGCGGCGGTGTGGGCCGCCAGGCACACCCTTCTCTGCAAAATGACTCGTCCGCTCTGGGCCCCGCTGCTGCAGCCCGCGGGGGGGCTTCTAATCCCTTCCTTTTGGGGGCGTTTTCTCGCCCCCACGCACCCTTCCCACCGCTCCCGGGCACCTGGCTCTCAGCCCCAGCATTTGCACCTGGAAGAGAGGCGGCGGCGGCAGCAGCTTTGGTAAAAGGTCGCCGCTCCAGGTGCTGAGTCCTCTGAGCTACGAGGACCTGTCACTGGCTGGATTTTGATATTGAATGGATGATTTTTGTTGGGAGCGTTTGCCTCAAAGGAATGGTGGGAATAACTTCCTCTTAAACTGGGAAAGGGGATCTTTCTACGCCCTCCCAACCCGGTTTCTAATGAAGACGGTATCCCCCAAAGAAGAGAAAGTCCGAGGAAACGGAAGGGAGAGCTCCACACCCCCTCCGCTGTCCCGTGGAGTTTCCCGGTTCCTTTTTCGAGTGTCGGATCCTCTCTGAAGTATCCACCCAAGTCGCCCAATCTCCCGTGTGTGTGTGTGTGTGTGTGTGTGTGTGTGTGTGTGTGTGTCTGGGCCCTATAATAAAATCAGTCACCTAAAATGTGTAAATAAGGACAATTTCATTGCGTTGTCTCTCCAGGGGGTTGTCCTTTTCCTGTTGCCCCGGGAAAAAATAATATTTAGAACATACTTTTTTTTTAACCCATCGGTTTGACAAATACAGCATCCTTTTCTCTGTGTTGTAACGATTTATGTGGAAAATTAATCTCCGAGATCAAAAGCAAATGAAAAGTTCCCGGCTGGTCCACACCAGAGGAACAAAGAGCAGCCTGCTCCGCCGCCGCCTAGGGGGAAGCGGGGCCGCGGGCACGGGCAGCTGGACCGGGGCGACCGTGTGCGGCTGCGGCTCCGCTGTGCCAGGCCTTCCCGGGCCGGCCGGGCCCACCAACCCCCATCAGCCTGGGCAGCTCGGAAACAAACACGCCAATTCCTTTGGCGACTCTCGCTCGCTCGCGGGTTTTCAGGCCCAGCTCCATCTAGCCGCCCAGAAAGGAGAAACAAAAATCAACCCAGACCACCACCCCCCTCCCCGGGAGGCCAGACCCAGGCGCGCGCGGGAATCGGTACCTTGATGGTGGTTTCGGGCAGGTTGAGCGCGGCGGCCAGCTCGCACCGGCGGGGCCGCGACACGTAGTTCTCCCGGTAGAACTCCTTCTCCAGGCGCGCGATCTGCTCGCGGGTGAACGCCGTGCGGTAGCGCCGCACCTGATCGGCACCGGCGCCCGAGCTGCCCAGCGCCGCGCCCCCGCCGCCGCCGCCGCCGCCTCCATGCAGGCTGCCCAGGCCGGAACCCGACGAAGGCGCCGTGGTGCCCGCGGCGGAGCCGCCCTCGGCGTACCCTGGCAAAGGAAGGCCGGCGGCCCTGAGTCACGGGGTGGCCCGGAGCCGCTCGCCGCCCGGGCTGCTGCGCGCGGATGGGGGAAGCCAGCCCGGAGAGCAAGGCGAGGCGCTGCCTGAATTGATGGGGTCTGTCACGCTTACAAATTGCTGCCGTTAATGGAATCAATAAAGTTTGGGGAGCCCTTCATAACCAAATAATAAGAACTCAATTAGGGTGTTGTGTGTGTGTGTTTTTTTTTAAATAATAATTGGAAATGTTCAACTCTGGGGAAATTGACCAAGGGAAAATGCCCACCTCTGGGCGCAGTTTGGGCAGCTCTGGGTTTGCCATGGTCTGGAGACCACCGGGCAGCTTTCTGCACGGCCTCTAACCCTTCTTGGACGGGTTTTTGTTTAAAAATTTAAAGACTTGAAAGCCAGCAGCCGCTCAAACCGGAACCATTAGGGGGTGGACCTTACTTTTCAACTCTTTTTCTCCCGCTGACCCAAGCGGGGCTCCCAAAGGCACCCCCCGACTTACTCAGATGCCCCCTCCACTCGGCCTTGGGAGCTCAGCAGCAGAGGAGCCCAGAGCAGCTGCTCAGGGCGCTTTCCCCCTAAGCGCGACTCTGCCGCTGGCTAGCCAGGGGTCGGTCGGCTCGCACCGGCTTCTAGAACCGGGCGCAGAAACCTTTTCTCGGGCTCAGGAGCCGGGCAGGCCGTCAGGCGGGCCTGGAGCCTCGGGCCTGCGCCTCTTGGAGAGACTCAAGGACCAGAGCCCGAGGGCACGGTCTCCCGCAGGCATCCCGCCCCTGCTGGAGCGGGCAGGCTGCAGCTTGCAGCGGGGGTAGTAGCAAAGGAGCAAAGTCCCTGGGAAGGGCGGGCAGCAGCCCCGGAGGACGGGGAGGACGGGGAGGACAGGGCGGAGAGCGCGGCGCGGTTACCTTTGCCATTGTTTTCCTTGAGCGGCGCAGAGCAGCCCACCTCCACGTCGCTGCTCATGTCCTCGCCGGCCGCCTCGGAATAGGGGCCCGGCTTTTTGCGGCCCTCCGAGGCCGAGGCGATTTCGGAGGAGACGGTGCTTTCGCCGCCCGGGTGCTGCAGGTTGAACAGAGAGTCTATTTCGAATTTGCCCTTGGCGGGGAGGTCTCCCAGTGAGCTGTGCAGGGGGGCGGACGGCAGGCGCGGGCTGAGGCGAGCCGGGTGCTGCGAATTTTCCAGGGCCTCGAGGACAGCATTGCCAGCCGAGTCGGACAGATTGGAGAACCTCTTGCCGGCGGCCGTGGGGCTGTGCAGCCCTCTCTCCATCAGAATCATCTCTTTTCTTATTCTTTCCATCATCTCAGCTTTCTAAAAAAAAAAAAAAAAAAATGTCACAGCGGTCCGGCTGTCCCGTGTCCTAATGATGGGCTGCGCCTCGGGCTAATTCTCATTCAGCCCCAGCGCGCGCCTCTAAATATTATTATCTCTTTTGGAGGGAGGCAGAGAAAAAAATTGTGGAATGCCAGAGCGAGGGAATGACTGGTCAAAATGACCCATACATCCTTCCGAGCCCGAGATGTCATTCATCAAAAAGTAGCGCTCGCTCGTCATTAAGGTACGAATGACGCCGTTCGAATAATCATTTATTGTAACAGGTTTATAAGCAAATAAATACACGCTGCTGTCAGTGGGTAATGAAGGCGGCTTCGGAGCAGACAAATAGATCCAGGTAGGAGGCTTGAGGAGACAAGCAGTGAGGAGGAAGGCTCCGGTCCTGAGCCCGTTCCGAGCCGGCTCTGCTCGCCCGGGGGTTTGGCCTCGGGGGTGAAATTGACAGTCTGATTAATAGAGCGCTCCGCGGCACATTTCCCCCTTCATTTAGGGGCATCATTACGCTCTCAGTTTGCTGGGCTGCCCCTTAGGTCCTAATCATGCAGCGCCTTCCTCATTTTTCCTCGGACACAGATACGTGTTAAATAATAGATAATGCTTTGATTTTTCCGGAGTAGATCGTCGTCGTCGTAGGGAAGCTAAGCTTTTTTTTTTTTTTTTTAACATTTACAATTGGGAGGGGGTGAGGGGTGGACGAGGGGGAGGATGGAGGAAGAGTTGCGTAAGGAGCAGACCTTGCGCTCCTGTCTGGATTACTTATCTTTTGAATTTCAGAACGAAATATGTTATTTTATTTAACAAATAGGACGCCGCCGACTTCTCTCTCTCCCCCGCACTTCACCTCAGCCCGGCTGCTCTTCTCCTTCCCAGGAGAGAGAGAAAGAGAGAGAGAGAGAGAGAGAGAGAGAGAGAGAGAGAGAGAGAGAGAGAGAGAGAGGTTGTAGACTTTTGAAAGCAGTTTAGTGCTACGTGGCTGGGGAGGTACGCTGGGCCCGCGCCTCCAAACGGAAATCATTAGGTCCTCTCTGATTTTTTAACACGGGTGTGCAGAGCGAGTCCTGAACTTGAAGTCCCAGGTTTTTTACTTTTATAATCTCGCTGATGGATAGGCTTCTCGCCTGCAGGTTTTCCCTGGGGGAAATGAACTCTGCTGGACGGTTTCATAGCAGAATCCGACAGCTAACTTAAAACGCAGTCGCGATTTACAGCGCCATATGGGCCGCCCCACATCCACTCTTTACGTCGCCAGCTCTCCCCTTCCCTCTTCAAACCAAATCGTTTGTGGCTAAGTTGCCGGGTTTTCACGAGGTCAATCGGGGCCAAGAAGAGGGCCTTTCCCCCCCTACCACTCCGCTGCCCTCTCTTTCCCACTCAGCTCTCCTTTCCTCCCTCCTCCCTTCCCCACCCCAGCCCCTTACCTGCAGCCCCGGGTGCTCCCCGCGCTGGCTCCCGGCGCGGAGAGTCGGGGACCAGCCTCGCCGCCGCTGCTCCTCACCGCCGGGGCCCCGCGGCGGAGCCTCTGGGCGATAGCTCTGATGGCCATAACGACGCCGGTGGCAACCATTTTTACGAAGATCGATCTTTACTCAAGGCCCTTGCACGGCTCCTCCCGTGCTTACACCCCACCCTGCCCGGAGACCCCAAATACACGGTGCCAGTCCGCAGCCCGAAGGGAGAGAGACCCGCGGCCCCGGGCGGGCGGGGATGAGGGACGATGGGGAGGGGACCCCGAGGTCGGCCCGTGAGCTCCCGGAGCGGCCGGGAGACCCTGGCGGTCTGGGCGCCGGGCGCGGGTCCCGCATCCCCGCCCCGGCACCAGCCCATACCCCAACCCGGGCCCCCCTCCCGCCCCGCCGCCACACCCAGCAGCACATCGGGGTGCGCGAGGGGCAAACCCGGGATCTGTTTGTGTCCATCTCTGCGTTGGCGCTTTCCTTTTAACCTTGGCCCCGTTGGGGGCGCGTCAGGAATGTGAGGGGAGGCGAGGTGTGAAGTATATTTATATACATTTATATACGTTAGTCAATGCCAAAAGTTTCTCTCCTTTTCCCCTCGGCGCCAACTTATTCCAACGGCGCGAGCTTTGCTTAGAAAATCAATTACACCTCTTTAAGGAAATAAACGGAGTTCTCCCCCAGGTGAGACAGGGAAGGCTGGATAGGCGCTGTGGCTGGGGGGCAGGGGGTGGGGTGGGGGCGCGGAGTAAGGCTTGGGGTATTCAGAGGACTTGGCTCGCAGGCACCCCCGCCCCTGCCCCAGAGGCCACCAGACTCAGAAAACCACCAGCCCTCTCCAGCCGGCTCCCCGGCCCTGCGCGCAGTCAGGATGCCGCCACCCTCCCTGCTCCACAGCCCGAGCGCCCCCTCCGCCACCCCGGCAGGCCTGCCCAGCGGAGGGAGGAGGGGAGTCGCTGAGCAGGAAACGCAGAGGGTACCCCTCTCCCAGCCCCACATGCTTTGGAGACTAAATGGGACACCTCCGTCCAGGCGCGGATTCGTGGTGGGGACCGGGGACCAGGGCCCTGGCGCAGAGAGGGGCGGGGGGCAGATGCGAGGAGGGGGGGGGGGGTGTTCGGGCGGAGGCGCTACCAGGGCGGAAATCGTGGACGCCTTTATTGCTGTCGTTTGGCGCCCCCATCTGTTTTCCTCAAGGTTTTGGCGGCTGGGAGCCGCTTTCAATAGCAGAAGCCGCCGCTGAGTTCTAGGGCGGCTACACTGACCCTTCTTCTTCTTTCACCCAGCCAGCAGGCCCCCCACTGCCTCCCGTCCTCAGGGACCCCTCGCCTCTGGTCCCAATGTCTGCGCCAAACCTACCTCGGTCTGCTGGAAAGAAGAAACACCGTTTCTCGGGCACACCTTCGTCCATTAGGGTTCTGAAACCATAGCATTTTGCATTTTAGCATGTCTGTTATGAAAAGTACACGTCAGGGAAACTGCTCACCCTAGAAGGCACCTTTTATTTTTCACTAAACTGCGTTTAGCAGACAATGTTTCATAGGAGGCAGCGAAGATTCCATTACAGTATTTAATGTCCCTTCGTTTATTTAGATTCCACACTTAGAAGTAACAGCAATATTGGTCAGCTTGTATGTAGCTTTTACTCTGAAAGTACAGGTGCCTTTTGCATACATTATCTCCTCCACACCTCACAGCAACCCTAAAAATGGACGGTATGATTAGCCCTTTCTCAGAGGTGAGAAACCTTTCACACAGAGAGGCTGGAGGGTTTGCTCCTGATGCAGACTTACCTTGGATAATATCCACGTTATAAAGTCTAAAAACTTGGGGCAGCATTTTTGGTGGCTCTTCTCCTTTTGCACCTATCTCCTTAAAATTCAGGCCTACATCGAAAGCATTGAGCCTGTGTGTGCAGGGCAGGTAGTGAGAAGATTGACACGGTTCTGCTGGTGTTTATTAATGAAATGCCCAAACCTTCCTTGCACTTCTCTCAGAAGATTGGCTAGAACTGGAAATGTCCCCACTTCTAAACGACATCACTTCAGGGCTATCAAGGCCTTCTACACACTACGGAGGTGCAGGACTCAATAAAACAAGGCAAGGATCCCCCCCATGTGCTCCGGTTTGACCGGAACTTTTCATGCGCATTGAGGGTGAGGGTTTCTCCAAATGGATTGAAAAGCAATTTTTGCTCAAAAGAAGGAGTTACAGGAAAGAGGCCTAATTTGGGGAACGGGTGGGCCTTTGGACCAAATATTTGTTTCTTGGGGAGCGGCAGGCTCTCCACTTGGGATGGATTGAAGATAATAAAAATGTGTCCGTGCTGCAGGAGAAGAGGGCAAGGGTACGTCTGGGACCATGGGGCGAAAATCCCCGCGTCCGCTTTGGGCCGCAAGCTAGCTGGGCCTGGGCGTGGGATGCGATGGAACAGCAGCCTGGTTAGAGTCTGAGCTGCGAACCCCGGGCACATTTTCTTTAGGCTGAGTGAGTCCCCACGGCTTGGAGGTTTCTTGGAAGTTTCAGTTTATGAGGAAAGACGCTGGATTAGGGAATTCAGGCCTGTCTTACTGGCAACATTTGCAAATCAGCCTTGAGTTTTTGCCTCTCTCAGGTCTTTCTAGCTGCCTCTATTTTCTTCCTTCTTCCCCCTAGAATCCCGCACCTCACCTGAGTGGAGGATGGAGGAGTACTTTGTCCATGAACTCGGAGCTACCTAGGCACACTGCCTGTCTGAAACTTGTGCGCCCTGAGCCGTGACAGGAAAACTTGCAGGGACATCTAGCGCCAGGCCTGGGGAACTGCGCGCCGCCGTCAGGGAAGCTAAGCCGGACTGCTCGCCCCTTGTCCTCCCTCCCTGCGCCCCCCAACTCCACCTCACCTCGCGCCCCTTGGTCCTTAGGCGTTTCCCTAACCTTCATCCCATTGCGGTGTCGCTGACCGCTGACCACACCGCACTTGCATTTCTGGTAGAGACAGCGGAATGGGGCTGGGGTGGGAGGAGGGAAGAGGAGAGAGAGAGGGAGAAAAAGAGGGAGAGAGAAAGGGAGAGAGAGAGATGCTCTGTCATCCAAAAGGGCCGACAGAGTTTGCACTTTCTGGACTTCAGTTAGTAATATTGCTAGACAAGTGTATTCCGAGGGCAATCCCACACCTTGAGATATGGACAGAACAGCAGAAAACTGTTGTGGTCCCAGCTTTTGTTTTGCCAAAAAAAAAAAAAAAAAAAAAAAAAAAAAAAAAAAAAAGCAAAAGTAACCCAGGGTCCCAATTCTGGTCCCACCCTCTGGCGCCTCCTCCTCAAGGAGATTAGTGCTTCTCTGAGGGCGACGATGCTCCCGGAGTTTAATTCCCACAGGAAACGCAGGGGTTCTCTCCATCCCAACAAGGGCCAGCTGCCTTGTGGGAGGCAAACCTGGTCTCACCAAAATGCGCTTTGGGTTTGGAGAGGGTTTTCTTAGTTGCAAACAATTTACATTAAATAAATTCTAATTCTGCTGCTAAATACAAATGGAATACTTCTCAGACCTAAAAAATGCTCAGCGCAGGATTCCACTGTCTGGCTTTCGCTAGAGACCCTTTTCTTCGCCTTTGGTTTGTTGCTGTTGTTGTGTGAATTCCTTTGGATATTTCCAGCCTGAGTGAAACTGGGTCTTGTCTGCAGAGGGAAGATTCGTTCCAAAGTTGTCAGGGCACAGACTTGGTTGAGAACACTGTCCAGCCACACTCACTGGATTTAAGACTTCACTTTGGAATGAGGACTCTATTCCTATGCTGAATTTCTGGCATCTTACAAGTTAATTAGGAGGGTGTCCCACTCTGACAGGACTTGGTAAGGTAATTGTTGCCCTGGCGCCAATGGTCACAGATTACGTGGCTAATCGATATAGCTCACTGCTGTCTTGGCAAGCAGAGAAGCTTATGTTCTTCAATAAATCTAACTCGCAGCCTGCACCTACCTGCTCCAGCCCAATGACAGGGACATGGTTTGAAAGATCATCTGTAAGGAGGAAAAAGAGAATGCTCCTTTCAGAACATGACTGATTCCCAAAAGGGGTGCTTGTGGAAAGAAAGAAGGAAGGGCAGTAAACTGGAGGAGAGGGCAGAGCTAATCTGACTTTCTCTCTACCTGGTGGAGTGGGACTTAGGACAATGAGGGGCTACACTGAGTTTTTCACCAAAATCAGGAAAGGTGGCAACACTGGCTTCCCTGAATAACACATCAGTGTTTGGACACACTTATGGCCGCAAAAGATTTTCATTTAACAAAGTCTATTTATGTCTGTTGTTAAAGCCCCAACTAATACACCCACGCACAGTCTGTACTCCTGGCCAGTTTGAGAAAATTATTCCTATTAACTTTAAACCTGAGATCCGCGTGGACATAGGGTATACAAGCTACATGAAATGTTTCTGCAAATTCAGCCTCAAAATTCCTTCCCTAACTACCACCCCCTGCTTGTAAAACTCTGTGTCTTATTGGTTCATAAAAAGATCAGCCCTGACTTTGTCTGGTACTCAGCCACAGCCCTATAATCCAGCAGCAGCAGCTGACCCGGGTGCTGGGTGTAGGGGCCCTTATAGGGTCCAGGCAGAGACACTTCTCTATGGGGAATTCCCTCTCCTAGGATGTAAGGCTACAGTGGAGGCAAGGTCGGTAGCAGGATAGCAAGAGGCGATGTTCTTTAGTGTTCAGTTTTCCTGGTCTCTGAATACTCTCAAGATTAGTCAGAGAAACCCCAAGTCCTGTGGGAGACCCAGAGGGCAACGGAAGGCAGGGCCACCATTGAGAAATGTCTTTCAACCAGGGCATCCATTCAGACTTTCCTTCCAGTCCTGCAGGGCTTAGCTTGCTGCCTAGGTAATTCAGCCAGAAGTGAAGTGTTGTCTGAAACAGCAAACCTTGACAAGTCCTTGCTTCCTATTGTAATATCACTTTCTTCATTCTTTAGCATATAACTAGTTTTAAGGGGTATTTATCAGATAGAAAATCACACAGATGTCCCGGAGTACAAAATCACAGGCTTTTTGGTTTTAAGAGACTGAAAGTTCATTGGTTCCAATTATGTCTTAGAAATATTTCAACAAAATTTTTTTTGAGGTCACAGAAAAAAATCCTGAGTACCTTTGTCTTCTCTCTGTGAGGAAAAAAGAAAGGGAGACAAAGGGAAAGCGAGAGCGTTTCAGAGTAGCATCTCATGATTGGTTTGTTGGGTAAAGAGAACCTAGCCATATACTTCTAAAAAGTCAGTCACTATCGCCTAACCCTGACTGGCATTTTCTTTAACGCCTTTGCAGCTTCCATTGTTAGCTTTTGCATCCTCTCAAAATTGTTTTCATCAGCAAATTCCTATTCCCTAGGATTTTCTGCAAGTCCTTAGACTCCTTCAGTCTCAATTTGATCAAGAACATGTCAGGGACTTCAAAAAGGTCAAATTCTCCCGCTTTTCCTTTCCAGCACCCTCTCATAACTTTCCCCTTTATTTGAGCCTTTTATGGTTACTGGGTTTTGCGTGTCAACACTCTCAACACCAGCAGCCCACCCTGCAGTGCCAGGCCAGGCCCAGGAGGGCTCTCTGACTCTGCCCCAGTAAAAGGCCCGGCTCTTACATCCTGCCCCATCCAGGTTCTGTCTTGGGTCCAGGAACAGCGGGTCTAGGTGACAAGCCGGCTTCACCAATCACAGGCTCAGGGGAGTGATTT